TACCCCAACCCTGATGTCAGTCCCATTCTACCACAGTGACACCATGCAGTATTTGTCCTTTTGTGACTGAGATATTTTACTGAGTGTAATGTCCTCCAGGGTCACCCACTTTGAATAATATTGCATGAGTTCCTTGTTTTTCAATGCAGCATAGTATTCCATTGTGTGAATATATCACAGCTTCTCTATCCATTCGTTTGTTGATGGGCACGTGGGTTGTTTCCAACTCCTTGCTATTGTGAACAAAGCTGCAATAAACATGGGCGTGTATATATCAGCTTAGATGTTAGTTATGGTCTCTTTGGGGTATATTCTCAGTAGTGGAGTTGCTGGGTTAAATGGTATCTCCAATTGCAACTTTTTGAGGTAGTGCCACACCACTTTCCACAGTGGTTGCACCATTTTACACTCCCACCAACTTAGCTGGTTTCTTAACCTCTGAAGAGGGAAATGAAGAGATACCTTCCTACCTGGAAGAGGTGTCAGTCACATCAGCTGGAACCAAGCAGGCTCGTGAAGACAACCAGGCAAGATGTCACACAACCCTGCTCTGAGACCTGCCACTTCTCTGTGATGCAGATAACATGCATTGTTTCATGTTGCCTTGGCAATTTATCTGTTGGCTTTATCTTAGAGGAATGCTTGAAATGATGATGACGAAGCCAGCCGCGAGAAAATTTCCATTTTACACACATTTATGGAGCCCAGTCCCCACTTCCCAAAGATTGATTGTCCACCCAGCAGGCAAGCATCCAAACTGGTCACTGAAATGCAGTTTGATAAGGACAAATAATGTTAGGCCCAGGGTGTAGCAGGAAGATCAAAGATAAACCTGCCAAGGCAGGGTGTCAGCAAGATGGGCCTTCTCTGTTGGAGCCCTGGAAGAGTTGGAAGTGGCCAAGAGAAGTGGGTCAGGAGGTGAGCTTTGTCAGGAAGTTGTTGTGTGCTGTTGAGTTGGAACCGACTCATAGATGACCATCCAACAACAGGTTTTCAGAGGCAGTAAATAGCACGGGAGGAGACTGCCCATCTTTCTCCAGCAGAGCAGCTGATGGATTTGAACCGCGCACCTCTGGAGTTACAGCACAAATCTCA